TGTGAGTGTGAGTGTGAGTGTGAGTGTGAGTGTGAGTGTGAGTGTGAGTGTGAGTGTGAGTGTGAGTGTGAGTGTGAGTGTGAGTGTGAGTGTGAGTGTGAGTGTGAGTGTGAGTGTGAGTGTGAGTGTGAGTGTGAGTGTGAGTGTGAGTGTGAGTGTGAGTGTGAGTGTGAGTGTGAGTGTGAGTGTGAGTGTGAGTGTGAGTGTGAGTGTGAGTGTGAGTGTGAGTGTGAGTGTGAGTGTGAGTGTGAGTGTGAGTGTGAGTGTGAGTGTGAGTGTGAGTGTGAGTGTGAGTGTGAGTGTGAGTGTGAGTGTGAGTGTGAGTGTGAGTGTGAGTGTGAGTGTGAGTGTGAGTGTGAGTGTGAGTGTGAGTGTGAGTGTGAGTGTGAGTGTGAGTGTGAGTGTGAGTGTGAGTGTGAGTGTGAGTGTGAGTGTGAGTGTGAGTGTGAGTGTGAGTGTGAGTGTGAGTGTGAGTGTGAGTGTGAGTGTGAGTGTGAGTGTGAGTGTGAGTGTGAGTGTGAGTGTGAGTGTGAGTGTGAGTGTGAGTGTGAGTGTGAGTGTGAGTGTGAGTGTGAGTGTGAGTGTGAGTGTGAGTGTGAGTGTGAGTGTGAGTGTGAGTGTGAGTGTGAGTGTGAGTGTGAGTGTGAGTGTGAGTGTGAGTGTGAGTGTGAGTGTGAGTGTGAGTGTGAGTGTGAGTGTGAGTGTGAGTGTGAGTGTGAGTGTGAGTGTGAGTGTGAGTGTGAGTGTGAGTGTGAGTGTGAGTGTGAGTGTGAGTGTGAGTGTGAGTGTGAGTGTGAGTGTGAGTGTGAGTGTGAGTGTGAGTGTGAGTGTGAGTGTGAGTGTGAGTGTGAGTGTGAGTGTGAGTGTGAGTGTGAGTGTGAGTGTGAGTGTGAGTGTGAGTGTGAGTGTGAGTGTGAGTGTGAGTGTGAGTGTGAGTGTGAGTGTGAGTGTGAGTGTGAGTGTGAGTGTGAGTGTGAGTGTGAGTGTGAGTGTGAGTGTGAGTGTGAGTGTGAGTGTGAGTGTGAGTGTGAGTGTGAGTGTGAGTGTGAGTGTGAGTGTGAGTGTGAGTGTGAGTGTGAGTGTGAGTGTGAGTGTGAGTGTGAGTGTGAGTGTGAGTGTGAGTGTGAGTGTGAGTGTGAGTGTGAGTGTGAGTGTGAGTGTGAGTGTGAGTGTGAGTGTGAGTGTGAGTGTGAGTGTGAGTGTGAGTGTG